TCAAACCCCACCTTCACGACAACACAGCTATACATTCCATTGGTTGAGGAGGTTTGGTGCAAACATGCTAGTGTGGGCTCGACTTGGCTTCTCTTTCTTTCTCTAGTTTTTCCCAACACCAGTTCGGGAAGGTCATTTGAAATTTACAGTATCTTCCTGATGGGATCCTTCCCATCCCATGGGTGAGATGATGAAGGTGCACAGCCACCAGTGCATATGCATAGGCCAGTGAAAGTTTGCAGGAAGAAGCAGTATGTTTTGTTGGATCACCTAGTATTGCTGGAAATGTTAGACAAACTTTCAGGTATGCAAGCCCTTACTCAGAAATAGAAGCAGCAATTTTCAGAGCTCAATACAAGCTGAGAACAAATGCTCAGAAGTTAACTAGGTATAATTAGGCCTTTGTTTAAAGAAAAGATATTTGGTATCTGTAGAGAAGAAAGGATGGTAGAGAGAGAGGAAAGCAAGAGAGAGAAAGTTAAAGTTAAATGAAGCTGCTTGTCACCTAGGGGGAAGAAGAGACAGGTAGTTTGTAGCCTGGGGAACAAGAGTTGAATGAGGTGAGTAGGAGGAGAGTCTAATCATAAAAGTCACATCTACTGAGTGTGTGCTCCTCCATATCAAGTAGCTTTCTCAATTTCAGTTCTCACCCTCATCTTTAAAAAGGGTTTTTGGAGGTTGTTCTGAGAAGGACTGTAAAGATGCCAAAGGTGTTCTGGAAGAAATGTTCCTATATGGCAACTTGACCATATGAGACCATTTTGGTGTAGACTCATTACTTAATTTTAACTACACAGTTACTGTGAGGCTACTGGATATTTTTTTCATTTCTGGGAATGTGGGTGCGGGATTTAGAGAAATTCTGGAAGGGAGAGTTAGAGTTGGGCCCCATTTTAGATGATTAAGATCTATTTGGGTGGAGAGAAAAGTGTAATGAGTTATCTGCAATACTCTGAGGGGACCATCCTCTGGTTTTACAGGCGCTTCTGCTGGGGAAGCTTGTAGGAAGCTGTGTCCTTCCTGCCTCATGCAGAATCCTTTTGAGGAAGGAGATTGTGAGTCCAGTAACCAAAGAGTTCCCAGCTCTGTTGCTGGGACACCCAAACAGTTCAGAATGGTGTATTTTAGGTTACCAGAACCATGTGTTATACATTCTACCAAATAAGTATTGAAAATAGAGGTTCTATTCAATCAAATCAGTAAGAAACCAAATGTTTAGTCAATATTGTGAATACCCTTCAGTAGGAGTAATCTGTTGGTTCTGCTCAGCCCACACAAATGTGAGGTGCTTTTTTGCTGAAAAAGAAACCTTCACATGAATACAGTATTATTTTTAAGTGGCCTTGTATTAAATGTGGCCTGAATTTTTCTGTGAAACATGAAACTGGTGAGACAACTTTAGGAAACCTTGTTGTAGAATTAAATACTGTTTCTCTCCAATGCAGTTTGGTTTTTTTTTCCTACATGTATGGAATTCAAATCAGAACATTTTGTAAGGAAAAGTTTTATACTATCAAACTGCACACAGTCTATGATTAGTATAAAAACTAGATACTTCTAGATTAGTAAAATGTCCTACAAGTCATAATTATAAATCAATATTTATGTAGACGAAAGATTGGTGTCTCCATAAAGTGCTGGAAATTCAATATTTTAGTCTCCTGTGTCTCCTGAAAGTGCCTGCATATTTTATATTCCCTGTGCACTAAAAATTGTCTCTGTGTTTTATGTATTGTTGTTTGTGGAGCTCTATTTGCAAACATAAGTAACAGCTAGTACTGGAGATGATATACAGGCTGTATAACACACCTAAAGAAAACAAATCTGGAAGCATGCAAATGCCCCTGACTATAAATTTCAAAGACACCATAAGAATTTTTAACCTCATGCTAATGCTGTGAAGAGTACACCATGGCTGTGTGGGATGCATTCTTGTAGCTGGCAGGAAGGAAAACAGCTCCAGACTCTGGTTAATGTGCAAGTTTCCATGGTTGTGGTACCTATTGGCGCGAAAAACCTAAATTTGTTTGAGTCAGTGGGATGTGCAGTCAGTGGGATGGAATTCACAGAATCACAGAATGTTAGGGGTTGGAAGGGACCTCTGAAGATCATCAAGTCCAAACCTCCCTGCCAGAGCAGGACCAAAAACGAGGGCAGGTCACTGAGAAAGGCATCCAGAGATGTCTTGACAGTCTCCAGAGAAGGAGACTCCACAACCTCTCTGGGAAGCCTGTTCCAGTGCTCTGTAACCCTCACAGTAAAGAAGTTCTTCTTCATGTTGAAGTAGAACTTCCTGTGCTCGAGTTTGAATCCATTGCCCCTCGTCCTATCACAGGGCACAAGTGAAAAGAGGTTGTTCCTGCCTTCTTGATGCACAGCCCTAATTCCTATTGCAGCTGTGTGCTGTCCAATGGGAAGGGGTCCCTGAGGCAAGTGCTACATGCTGGGGCACTTTCCCGCTCCCAGGCAAGATGCACAGCTGGAGGGTGACCTGGCTGCAGGCCTCTGATGTCTGACTGTGACAGCTTGGAGCTGTCAGCAGGGAAGTGGGCTCCCACACAGTTCCCAGATTAGGGGTTTCACATCAGCTCATTCACTCAGTAGCAGTACCAGGAGGTGTTTTTGCCCAACCACAGCCTGAAAACCAATTTTGAAAGCACTTCTGGTGTTCTCTGAAGAGCCTCAGGCACCAGGTAACACAGCATGGACATCACAGTGGGGACTTTGGAGCACAGAAGGCGCGGCACTGCTGACACAGGAATCTGTCTTTTGGCTCAAAGCATGTGTCCTCTTCCCTGTGTCCTCAACACACAATGTTTTTGGTTAATGTGGAAAGCTATAGATTACTCAGAAGAAAGGCTTTCTCCATTTTTACATTGGCTGCTTTAGTATGATACCACAAAAATATTGAAGCTAAGATTGAAATGGAGGGCTTTGAGATAAACAACACAGTATGGGTTGTTTCCTTTTCAAAATACATTCTAGCAAATCATCATTTTCTGTTGGAAGACCACAGCCCCTGTGAAATTTTTGGTTTTGTACTGCAGGGTTCCTTTTCTGACAACCAGAAGTCTTGCTGACCATGCACATGCACAGAAGGACAAAGGTCCATCCGTGGCTTTTTATCCCTGAGTCACAGGTTGGTGTCCCCTTGCCTCTCTCTCTCCTGCAATGGACATTCCTCTAATAACGTGGAATTTTTCTATGTTAGGGTTGCATTAAGCTACCATAGTAACTAGAAGAGCTCAGCAATAACAATACTTGTAGTAGACTAAGGTGGACATTTCTCTCAGAGCATGGTTATTTAAAGGAAAAAACACAAGATATTCCACAATGTAAATTGCTTATATTTTCTCTGTGTAAAACTGTAGCTATTTACCTCCCATGCTGTGGGTACAAGTGCATTCAAAGGGAAAGCATTTCAAAGTTCCTCCTTAACCAAACAAGACAGGAAGAACGTAGATGGTCAGAATTTGGAACAGTTTTGTATACAATTGCACATGACACACCGTGAGTTGGTTCTAGCACTTGTTCTGACAGATTGACTGAAAATGTGACTAGCAGTGCAAATATCTGCCAAATGAAAAACATGGAAAACAACTTATTTTTCCTGATATCTGGTTTCAAAGTTTTTGTTTTGGTTGCACAGATTATCACTGAAAGTAACTTCATGAAGTGGCTTCTTCCAGCACTCAAAGAGCACCTGCATTGGTTCATACAAAGCACGAACATGCAAAACACTGAATAATTCAGAGTGCTTTGAGTGGGTAAAAAGACAAGTACACTGAAAATAACTTGTTTTTCTGGAAGAAGTTTGCCTTTTTGTAAAAAACTAATAAGCTTGAACTTTTTTTATTATGAAATACAACATTCCAGACAAAACATTTCAGCTAGAAATCGTAATCTTTAGATTGATAAGGCACATATAGGGTCCTTGTGCCAGAGCTCTTCTTCTGATGAGGATGCCTAGCTAAAGTGTACTTCCCATAGTCATTGTCAACTCTGTCCCTGACCCCTACAGGGTCCAGCATGAATACCAGCAGCCACCATTTCACAGAATCACAGAATCTTAGTGGGTTGGAAGGGACCTCGAAAGATCATCTAGTCCAACCCCCCTGCTAGGCAGAGTCACCCAGAGCACATCACACAGGAACGTGTCCAGGTGGGTTTTGAATGTCTCCAGAGAAGGAGACTCCACAGCCTCTCTGGGCAGCCATTTGCTGTGACCCAAGTCATTTGGCTGCCAAACTCAACTCACAAGGAGCACAGAGACGTAAAGCATTCAAGTAACAACTCTTAAAAGTCAGGAGTTTCAAATCCACATTTTCAGATTAAGATTTTTGCACTTCAAAAAAATAGGAATTTTTTGGCATGTGGATGATAATTTTTTTTTTATTTAAAACTGGAAAATTGGATTTCAGATAAATAGCTTTAACAAAAGAATGTATTGAAATAAACCAAATTCTAATCCAAAGATAGTTTTGCTAAAAAACTTTTAACAGTCCTCATGAAAAATTTCCTTGATTTTATTACAGAACAGAAATTGAAAGATGTTGCTGCTCTACAGGCTCAAGATCATCAGCTGTACATAAAGTACATAAAAAGCAGTAGATTTTGCATTAACCAGCATTATTATTAACCAGTTCTTCCAGCCTAATAAATCTCTTGCAGATGCAGTCCTTGATCTTGCTGTATATAACAATATTTCTGGCTGATAGGAGTTTTGCTGATTTCCTTGGAACCCAAAGTATGGGTCTTCTGCTTGTAGAGTCCCATAAAATTCATTGTCTCTGAAGTTAAGGCTGTCATTTATGTCCAGTATTTTGCTGAGATAACATACGCTACATGATAAAGATTGCGATTTTATTTCATTATATCAGAAGAAAAACAAAAATAACTTATAGCTTAAATTCAGAGAACTGCTGTTAACCTTTCTCCATTGCAGGAAGGCATCCAAACATGTAAAATGCAACTGATAGAAACACTTCCTGAAGTGCATCCTAAACAAGTGTCACGTTTCTAATTTTCTTTGCGTTGATCGGGTAATCAATATGTCTTTGAGGTCGCACCTACGGGAGAGTAAAAGCAGTTACAGAGCTAAAAGAAATTCTAGAAAAGCGGTACTGCAAAGGTCCTCAGGATGGTACCTGCCAAACCCTCACCCCAATATACTATACCAAATTAAAATCTACCGTCATCTACCCATTCAAAACCTAAACACAAAGGAAAGGATGAACAGCAGAACAAAACAAGAGCTTCACATGCAACACACTGATGGCAGTTCAGCGAATTCATTAACTGCTCTGGAGCTAATTGAGAACTTCTTGTGAGCTCTGAAGTCTGCATTCTTTTAAGCAAAACATGCTGTTCGGGTGTTTCTTCTCTGGTTCTCTTAAAAACAAACAAACAAAAAAAAAAAACCCAAAAACCACAAAACCCTACAACAAATCTGTTAAGCTGTAAGAAAAACTAAACATCTGGCATTGGAATTGCAACAATAAATACACCAGTATTTCATGTATCTGAAAGACCACCCTCAACATCTCAGTGTTTAGTCAAAGCAGACTTTTTTTTAAATTTTCCATGACTGGCATGATTCCAGTTCCACTGACAGCAGCCTGCTTTCAAGCTGACCCCTGTGGGATCAGTGCAGGGCCAACACACAGCAGTTTTGAAAAACCTGTCCTCATTTGAAATCAGTGCAGTGGATTTTCAGACCTAATAATTTCTGTGCTTTTACAAAATATCATAGCAGAGGAAAAGACAAAGGAAAATCAATTTTCAAATGCATCCAAAACCCACAGACTTTGAATATTTAAAAGTAGTAGTGAGACCTCACATAGATAATTACAAAGTAGCTCTAGAGAACACGATTTTCTTCCAAAGTTACAAACCTTTATCTTCATATAGCTTCCTAAATGAAACACCACAGTCAAATGGTTTGCTGTGGCCAGCCCCAGTGTTGGTTCTATCTACCTCCAAGTAGGTGCTATCTCCTAGCTACTGTTACTTGCTACTTCCCCACCTGATCTCAAGATGTAGGGAATCAATGGAAACTTTCTTGGTTTTCCCAGTGGTATTTATTTTCTTGAGATTTGTTTCTGGAGTGTTAATCATGTACAGTCTGTATTGCCTTGGTACTCTTCCAGCATTAGAGATCTTAATTAATGCATTTGGTACATATACATTATTGAATAAGCCATGGAGGAAAATGTTGGATAACAAATGTGGACAATATGTCTCTTGTATTAATGAGTCCCAGCAACTCAAGGAAAACCATGGGATAAATATAACTATACTAGAAACATTTCATAAGACAGCTGCCTTCTGTTTTAAACACAACTCTCTCTCCCCTCTGCCCATCCTTTTTTTGTTGCTGGAACATTCTGCTGTTTTCTAAATTTACCCTTCTTTACTGTTTATTTCTGCAGAGAGAGGAGGTGCTCTGGGAAGTAACAGGATTGCCTGTCTCTGCTCAAGAGACCTTTTCCAAGATCTCTCTCCTGCACTTAATTTCTTGCAGTTCAGCCCAAAGACTTTAGTTGTGTTTGATAGAGACATCACTCATTCATTTCCAGAGCACATCAGAAGTTTCCTCTGGTCTGTGTTACCCTGGAGATTAATATATTATGATTAATTTATGGCAGAACAGTTATTTGACATTTCCTGATTGTCCAATTACAGGTCTGCAATGGCAGACTTTCTCACAATGACAGAGGTTTTGAGAAATTCTCTACCATTGCTCCCTCCAAAAATAACAAATTTACAAGTAGAATGGAAAAAAAAAAAAAAAAAAAGCTTAAGGCAAGTGTTATGTTTGTGGAAAGCAAGTATTCCCAGATACTGTAGACTGTCCTTTGAGTATAAATTATACCACACTAGTTGCCATACTGAGTAAATAAAAAGTTTTGGAGGGGCTCCAAGAGCACCTCACTGAACGCTGCCTCTGAAATTTCCTGAAATAGGTCATTATTTGAATCCCATGTTTAGCAAAATACTGGGGTGGGGATAATTCCCAGAACTTGTTGCACAAAAATACAGTATTGCACCCAGATTTACTAAAGGAAATAATTAATTGGAAAGTTAATTAAGTAATGTTGAAAGAGGCAGTGTTTATGGCCATTAGTAGGCAATGCTACAGAAGATTGTGGTTTACACACGATTTTGAATAGGAGGGAGCCAGAGGACTGGCACCAATTGGATCTAGACTGCCATGTTCTTCCCTGCAAGCACTGGGTAAAATGTAACCCAGGCATGCTGATTTTCCCTTTAAAATCTCATCTGCCAGAATGAGCCATCCAGCCCCTGCCATGTCATGGCATTTCTCCCCACCACCAGAGGAGGAACTGAGCAGCAAGTTTGCTCCTGGGATGGGAACTGTGCCCATGACGGTTCCCCTATGCCCTGCTGCATCATTCATAGTTATTTACTTTAAAGCAAATGCCCTAGGTTACTTATATTCTATTCTCACTGTGCTCTGATATAAATTAATGAATAATTTCACTCCTTTCAATCAACTCACGCTGTGTACTGGCCCATTTTCTGTGGAGCTTTCTCTGAAGTAATGTAGCCTCATTGAGGTTGCAGCTCACTCTGGATATAACTTCACTGAAATGGAAATTTCTGGCTGCTGGTCAGTGACCTAATATTCATTTTCTGATGCTATAGAAGATGTCATATGACACATTACAAATACACAATACAGAGGAATAGCAGTGCAATAACAATTTCATATTTAGACCCTGATAAGCTACATCTGCTAGAGCCTCTGCTTGGTTTTGATTGCTTCTTCAGATTAATCCAGTGCTCTGCTAGTCCTGTCAGCCCTAGTCTGAGAAAAAATGGTTTCATTATTCATTACATCCTGCATACTGAAGGGAAAAAAAACAGCTGTAGTGGTTCACAGCACAGCCCAACGTTGCAAAAGTGAGTTTCTAAAGTAAACTCTTCTATTAGTAAGGATGCGGTATTGTCAGCATTTCTTTTACATAGTTTTAAATCTCTTCATACTGCTAGCTTGGCATCTAGTTAACCATGGATATTTAGCAGTCACATGTTTCAAAGCCTGCCTGTTGACTTATCATCTGCCCTGGATGCCTTTTTATAGGGATTACTACAAAGGGAGTGTTATACTGGGAAAAGCTTTGCAGAGGTTTGTTTGGGGTTTTTTTGTTGGTTGGGGAAACAGATGTCCAAATCTTCCCATTTTTTCCAGCTCTTCAGCCAGGCAGAAAGAGAGCTAGCAATGCATGGAAGAATCAGAAGGTAAAATGAGTGTGTGTATCAGCTGATTTCAAGGTTGAATCTTTCAGTGGTGTTTTGAATACTGATCTCCATTCGATGAAAGAAGGACTTCTGCTATTACAAGCAAGTTGTAGTCATTTCTGCAACCCCTACGACATCAGTGATATGAATGATGAACACACATCTGGCATTATGAAACAGAGCTCTTATCTTTAAATTCATTTGACAGGTGGCATCTTCTCAGACACTGATGCTGTGGAAATGTGTGATAAACTGAAGGCTTTAACTGCTATTAACCAGCCAAAAAAAGTCCAAGTCTAACTGCACTAGAACAAATTGCTGGAATTAATGAGGTAGGAGCACTTCCAAATGTGTCTGCATGCATCACACATTCGGCTGTTAGAACAAAAATCAGGGAGGCACAGTTTTCTGCTTCTGAAGATAATTTTCCCTCTCATCTTCAGTTGTTAATTCTCATTCCAAATTCACATTATTTACAGGAGAACACCTACTCAAAGGGCAGATATTTTGAGAATACCCTCAAAATAATTTAGTTACTCTGTTGTTTCAAATAGCAGACCTGTCCTATCCTGTCAACTTCTCATACACTCAGCACATTTCCCTGCCCATTGATAGACAAAGAGCATGGAAATTCCTTCTCATTTCTTTGTAGTTTTATCCCACCTACATAACTTGGCTCCTCCCCTTCTTCCAGAGACACTTGGGAAAATTATACTATAAACTGCCTTTTATATATCTGTATCATCAATATTTATTACTCTTTTAAGATATGCTGACCAATGAATGTCATAACATGACATACTCTATAGTAGATTTCATCAGTAAGGGAAAAATCATTTGCTGTCATTGGTTTATGTTTCTATTTTATTGACCTTTTAATTGGATTTCGATAGCTTAATTTTTCTTCTCATACAAACCTCAGAATCAGTCATATACAGTGCAATAAATGGAGTGACAATTCATCATTCATTTCCTTCCCAGTATAAAACCACAACCACAACTAAATAATATTTCCATTTTATAGAGTGTCATTTCAAGTAGTTAAGAAGAAAAATAGGTCCTTCCCCATTAATGGACCCATGACTCACTTTGGGTTGAAGTGTGGCTGTGGTGGCAAGTGCAAACATCCTTTGGTTGTGCTGAAATCAGTTGAATTACACCAGGGATGAATCTGGCCCACTCTAAGTGAGCAGTTACTCCCTCTTATGAAATAGTCTTCTGATTTATCTGAGAGACTTTTATGGCTTGTTAAGTGGACTAATTATGGAGCTTGTGTAGGAGAGACTGTAGGAGCTCCTTTTGCACCAGTGGGACTTGAAAAAATGCAGCTTCTTGGAGAAAGAACTCACAACCTGGAAGAATCAGTCCTATGGCCCTTGTTCAGGCTTGACTGTCTGTGGGGACTGCCCCAAAATCTGCTAGAGCCAAGGTAAGGGAATTCCCTCGTTGCACTTGGGTTTTGGAAGGAACTCTGTGCAATGGGTCAGGGTGTGAGAAACAGCCCCTCAGATGGGACCTTGGTCCCTAACACTTTTGTGGCCTGCAGCTCAGCCCTGGATCTAGGAGCAAGGATCAATCTCCTCCCATCTCTGACAGTAACAAAATATGCAATTAAACAAAAGCCTGTAACTCTACTCTCCATTTGACCTTTTCTTGGCTAATGTAATCAGAACAAAGACCTTCCAGCACTCCTGACTGATGCTTCAGGCCTCCTCTTCCAGCAGCTGGTAATTTTTTCCTCAGCTCAGTAATTTTGTTCAATATTAATAATTTTTTTAAATGTCTTGCACACCTTTTCACCCCTTCTTCTTCACTGAGGTATTACTTTTCCCTAAGATGATTTGCCAAATCTTTTGTTCATGTTGTGAATTGATCAGTGCAATTTCTGGGCAACATTTATCTTTTGTGAATGTCTTGCATTAGTTCCTGATTCAGAGTTAAAATGCCAAATAGCTGACCTAAGTGATTTTCTGTTGTTACCTTTTATAATGAGACCCACCATGTATTTCCAGCTTTTTACCTAGTTGGGCAAGAACTTCTGAGGAAATGAAACCTGTGATACAAAATCTTCCTTAATCTCTCAAATAATTTTAAATTGTAACTTGTTACATATGAAACAGAAGGGATCAAATTTGAAGCTGATACCCTGAGAGACACAGGGAGACTGTCTAATGCCTCTGACCTCTCCTGAAAACTTCCATGCAGTTTCCTTCTGAGAGTGGGAGGAAAAGGCTGTGCAGCAGATACAGTTGCCTCTGTCCATTCAAAATGGTAACTTGAAAAATCTCAAGTCACTGTGATTGGCCTGCTTTTCATTTTGTCCCCACATCCACGAGCTTCTTTTAATTTTAAAAATCTCCATTCAAGCTGCTCATATGGACCTATTTTCTTGCCCTGTTGCTGTGGTTTATCCTGATCTCATAAGGTGACAAGCAAGCCAACTACAGATCTTTAGTTCTTTCACCTTGCAGAGGTGGAGAGACAAGGCTTTAGGTGTTCACCTTCTGTGACTCTTTCCATCAGTAGATGGACTTCCCCACGCTGCTCCTGAGGGAGGACCTGGGTTCTTCGCTCTTCTTGCTTGACCTCCATAGAAGTACTGCAAATACATATCCTCATTTCTCTTGATTATCCAGGGGGAGAGAGGCAATTAGCTGAAGTCCACCCCTTTATGACCTCCTTCATGTGGAAAAAAATTCTCAGTCATTTCTCTTCCTCCTGTTTTTTGTTTTGTTTGTTTGGGTTTTTTTTTCCCCAAATTTCTCATTAAAAAGTCCAGAAGAATGAAGTTGAAAACCCCTTGGGAATGTTTCCAGTATCCAGGCAGGGAAAGTCAACAAAGAAACACAACTTTCAGTGTTTAGAAAATAAAGTGGCAGGAAGGTAGGTGGTTTCTGGAGAAATTGTTTTCTTCAGCTCTAATCAGCAGAGTTAAATGGCTTGCTGTCTGATTTCTCCTACTTGACAAGAAATATAACAAAAGGGCACTACAATGTTTATTGTGCAATATATTGGCAGCAGTGGCAATTGAGCTTTATTAGAATGCATCTAGTAATATTTTTTGTCAGAAAACCTCTACTGCGCAGTTAACAGAGGAGGTTACAAGTGTAAAAGAAAACCACTTTTTTTTTTTTTTTTTTTCCCCTGGGAAATGTTTTGTTGTTTGTACATAATGTCATAAATTGAAAGGCTGCAAATCCACAATTCAAGGTAAACTCACCAACCTTTATTGGCTCCCTCATATGCAAAATGGGGCCATCACAATATACTGAATAGCCCTGTTCAAACTGAGAAATACTGTATTTTCACAAGGCATTTTAGATTGCTAAATATTCCTCCAACATACGGAAAACAGTTTATCTATATTTTTAAAATATATGTTCAGTTAGTGATGCAGCTAGAAGACACCATAACAGATGTGGGCCAAACATTGTCCGGGGGCAACTGATTTAACAGAAAGGGTTCAACTTTATGGTGTGTGCTGTGATGGATTCCAAAGCTTCCCTAGCCACTGGTCTGCAAGGGACCTCCAAGGCCATCTGATCAAGCTTTTGACATAGAGGGCTGCACCTACATTTGTGGTTCAGTTTGAATCTGGAGCATGAACTCAATGCTTGTGAACCCAGCCTCCTGATAGTCCCCACTCACAACATTACCGTTCTCACTGTGGACTTGTCTGAAATGACCCATATTGCATACCTTTCAGGTGACACCAAATGGCTTAATGCTGCCCAGTGCACATCAACCACCAATGAGCACCATGTCACCAGGACACAGCGACAGCAAACTGAAGTTATTGCCTCCCACTGGAGAATGCATTAAGGTGGTTATGGGGTCCTTAACACAAGCATTTTTGCTTCTCAGAGCAGACTGTATTGTGCCACATGCCTTATGCATGTAAACACAGCCAGTGGCTTATAATCTTGCTCATAAGCCTATCAAACACTGTCTGAAACTGTTGCTCAGGGTAAGAGATCCGCACTGAATCCTCAGCAGTTTTGTACATTATTTTCAGCTTTGCTTTAATCATATTTTGTTTGACAAGTAATTAATGTCAAACATTATAACCACCAGCCACAAATACATCACTATCATTCCCTTTATTTTTACTGTTATTATTTTGATCATTGTTTTAATCATCGATTGAGTACTTCCTAAATTTCACTCTGTGCCAAAAGAACTAGACATGTTTCTGCTCTGATTTATATGCAATGTCATCCCAAGACAGATTTCTACTTTGTAGATGTTGAAACAGCTCTTCAAAACTAAATGAGTTATCCCTGTGTAACAGATTACTGCTACTTTTCCAAGAGAATAATGGCAAAAGCCATCACGGAGGTGCTAAATGTATTTTACAAATACATGGCTTAAATGAAGATCCATGTTGCTGTTGTACTAGAAGGTAAGACAGCTCAGCACCATCCTTCAGAACCAATTTAGTTGAAAACAGAACAAGTAGAGGAATAAACACTGAGATCTACTTTTTTACATGTTAGCCATATGGAAAAGGAGCAAAACTCTGGAGTGGAATGGGTGTTTGCTGCATGCTTTCCCTTCCATCATTTACTGCTGAGATACCAAAGATCTCTAAGATCAGGGTAAAGTTCTTAACAGAAGCAAGTTCTTCAGTGTGGAAGTGGAATTGGAAAATAACCCAGAGAAAATGTACAGTTATTTACTTTATCTTAATTGGATTTTCTTTGCAAAGGAACATCAACCTCACCTTCTCAAAAGCCAAGCCAGAGTTATTCTGGCTGGCCAGGCTGAAAGAATTAATTAACAGTAATAAGTGAGCTTGTGGAGAGAGAGAAGGAAACTTTTGCATCCCAGAAATTATGAAAAGACAATTGGCTTTATTTATGGGAAGTCTGTCCCAGCCAGTGCTATCCACTATGCTGGCCAGCAGAAAGGCCTAGCTGACATTTGGAGGAGGAAAGGTATGGAGGGAAAGAGCAAACACTGAATGCCTGGCAGAGTTCAAGGGGCAGCTAGATGATGCTTTAGGTCTTATAATTTAGTTTTAGCTGGTCCTGCAAGAAGTAGGGAGTTGGACTCAGTGATCCTTATGGGTCACTTCCAACTTGAGATAATTCTATCATTGTATGAGGGGAGAGAAGTCTGTGACATTTTAACTTTAGCCTGGGAGGTGGGGAGCAAGATGTAGCAGGTTGGTGAAGGAAAGATGTGACAGAAGCTTTATTAAACATGTCTTCCAGATATCAGCTGTGTTTATTTCTCTCTTATCTCTTATCCCCTCAATCTGAATCTGAGGCTAACACCCAAGGCTCTTACTGTTATAAAGGAAACATTAAGGAATGCTGAAAGGACATATGACTTATTCAATTACAGGTGTAATTTAATTAAAAATGTCTACCTCCACCCAAAATCTGTTTGGATATAGTAAGATACACACTGGGGTGGGGATATGGGGAGGGTGGGAGGAAGGAGGGGGAAAGTCGAGATATCAGCGTTACAGTTACCTTTGGTACAGAACTGGTATGTAAATCTGCAGCAGAGACAGTGAACTCTGAAGACACTGGGGCAAGAGAAGTAACTCCTGTAAAGGGAACATATAGGATTATTGTTATTCAGTGTGATTATTGTTATTCAGTAGCATGAACCAACAAACCATTCAGGAATGAAGGTAAATATTATTTCATAGTATGAGCTAAACTCTAGCTAACTTGTTGGGCTAACGTGGCAAGTTTTTGTAGTGTGGTGGAGATGGCAGGGGTGACTACTTTGAGAAGACACCAGGAGCTGCCCCCACATCGGACAGTCAGTTCCAGCTGGCTCAAAGACAAACCTGCTGCTGGCCAAAGCTCAGTGACATTGGTGTCACCCCTATGATAATGTATTTAGGAAAGCAGAAAAAATAAAGTGAGCAGGAGTTGGGAAGGAGGAGTAAGAAAATGTAAGAGAAACAGTCCTGCAGACACTAATGTGCCAGAGCAGAGATTCCTCTGCAGCCTGTGGAGAAGACCATGACGATGCAGGATGTTATCCTGCATCCATGGAGCAGGTATCCACCTGCAGCCCCTGGAAGACCCCACGCCAGAGCAGATGGATGTGCTCTGAAGGAAGTTACAGCTTGTGGAGAGTCCACTCTGGAGCAAGCTCTGGCAGAAGCAGGAGCCCACACTGGAGCAGGTTTTCTGGCAGGACTTGTGACCCCTTGCAGGACACATGCTGGAGCACTCCATTCCTGAAGGACTACACTGTGTGGGAAGGACCCAGGCTGGAGTGGTTTTTGAAGAACTGCAGCTTGTGGGAAGAACCCACACCAGAACAGGGGAAAAGTGTGAGGAGGAGAGAATGGCAGTGATGATGGACTGATTTTGGATGTTATGGACTGATCCTGCCTCCCGTTATTCCCTTTCCCCCTGCACTGCTTGTAGGGAGGAGGTAGATGAGCTAGGAGCCTTCAAAAGTGGAAGTGGGGGAGGTGTTTTTAGTTTTGTTTTTCATTCTCTGATTACTGATGTGTAATAAATTAAACTTCCCCAAGTGGAGCCTGTGACAGTAATTGGTGAGTGATGCCCCCCTCCTTATCTTGACCCACAAGTTTTTCCATCTTATTTTCTTCCACTGCCTTGCTGAGTAGGGTGAGTAACAGAGACACTTGGTAAGGATTTAGGGGCCAGTTTACTTAGTTTTTCTTTTATGTTTTATAATTGCTGCATTTAACAATACCTCATGCTCCTGAAACCTTTCTACTGCACGCACTTCTTCACAATTTATTTGTTAGAAATAAAAGGATGTATGCCTGGATTATAAACTCTGCACAATACTTTTATGCCATTAAGTGTTTGATTAAACGTTCTGATAATAATGTGGTTGTAAATGCAAGTGGTGGGTAATGATTTGGCGGAGATTTACATTTGCTTTTGAAGAGTCTTTGCGCTTAAGGACTAGAATTGATAATGCCTTAGTCATCAGTAAAATTATACTTCTCTCACTGCCTTTTTTTCTGTCCTTTTTTTTTTTTTTTTCCCCCCCCACTATTTGGTGGTGGTGGTGGATTGTTTCTTTTGTTTGTTTCTACAGACCAACTCTCACATCTGGCCCCAGAAGATATTTGGAAGAACAGAGGCAAAAAAAAAAGCAAACAAACAAATAAAAACAAACACAGGAATAAAACTAACTTTAACTGCAAAGAACTTTAATGTTCTCTCAATACTTTTGAAGGACCATACTCTAGAAAATACAACAAGTTCTGAAGCTGCACACAAGTACTTCTCAAAGAATTGTGACATCTTGCAATGTGATTGCTTGACATGTCCAAAATGTCCATGGTAAGAAGCAGTTAGACAATATGTGATTCACTAACTCAGACTTACTTGGGATTTTTTCTATGTTCCACAGTTCCTCTGGAATGTATCCCAGATTCTCACTGCCATGCCTCTGCCTGTTTTCCACATTGCCATAGTTTTTCTTCTCAGCTGTAACTTTTCTAGAAACAAAAAGGCCTGTCATTAGAACTTAATAAATGGGAACTGTTGGGTAATAGGCTACAGAGAAAAAATCATATGCCTCACCTCTGGAAAAAAAAAAAAAAGGTGCAAAACCTATCTGAGCCTTCCAAGTAATTAGCCAGTACAAATCTTGTCCCATATAAGTAGTACCTCTGAAATTCTGCTGACGAAGTTTTCATTAGCTACATTATCAGAAAGCAAGAATATAAAGTGAGCAATCTTCAAAGGGAGAAGACTCTGTTCCATATCATAGGCTTTGTAAGAAATTAATTTTGATGCCTAATTCTGAATTACAGGATATTCAGTGTCCTAATAATGGAACACCAGCTAGGTCACTTATGATAGCTCATCATTTTTGTGATTTGATCCCCCTGCAATTGCAAAAAAATAAAAAGCATGTTATCTCACATCACCACAGTTGGCTCCCGAGGGATTAATCTGTACTCTCCAAAGTTAACCTTTCACTTTGAAATTTACTTCACAAGTGAGCGCAACCACGGTGAAGTTGACAGAACTACCTTGGTTAAAATTACACATCTCTGAATTAGCAGAAAGGCAACCTGATTGCTGAGCAGAGAGAAACGAGGACAACTCTTATGCTAGAAGAGACGCTACTTTTCATCTGTTCCTACCATGGACCCCTCTCTGGGACAGTCCCAGGTCCACCTTTGCCTAAGTTTCTGGTGTGGCAAGCACAAATTGACGGCCGGCCTATGACAAGCCAGGCATTTGAAGGGGAAGAGGGAAATATTCTCAGTTAGCAATGCTTATGGAAACTGCTGAATTTACTTTTTTATGTTTAGCAGGAATTACTTTGCAGGCCTGTAGAGTTCCAGATGATCGTAACTGATGCACACATAAATCTAAGTAGTCAGCTATGACTACATGGCTCTTTTAGGAGATAAAAGTGTTAGATACCAATAACAAAACTGTCATGGTTGCTAGAAGACAAGAGAAATTGTTTAGGAATACCACCTCCACACATTACATGATACTGTGGCATATATTTTATCTGATCTCAACAAAGTCAGTGTAGTAGCCAAACCAAAAGCAGCTACAAAAAAAGTGTGGGAGGTACAGAAAGTTAGCCAGCCAAGTTAAAAATAACGTGGGAAGTAAAAAATAAAAGTTTTGGTCTCAATACTTCTTCACTACTAGTACAACACAGCTTCCAAAATCTAGACAATCATAATTCTTTTTATGTCAGGTAGATTCCCCCCAAGAAAAAAAACACCAAACCTACAAAATCTGGGAGTGATCGTAAATAATTCCTCTGAAATCAGTGTCATTGTTTACACACACTGAAACTGCAAAACTGTCAACACTGAGTTTTTAAGTCCAAGCTGAGCCACAGGGCCTGGACTCATCCCAGCGCTTAAGTACTTGCCTAACAGCTTCTTTAACTTTCAGAGTGTGAGCAACAGTTATGAGGTCAGCATGACAACTCCTGTTTGAACTTTATCGGAAAAGAAGAGCCTGACTGTACTGAGATCTAAAAGCACATGTTCTCTTCTCATGAAGATAGAATGGTATTTGCCCAGACAAGATTCAAAGGCACCGGAGGAACGAAAAGTGCTGTGCAGACCTACGTTAGTGAGGTGGGGTCCAAGGAACACGACAGACAGACCCAGCCACACCAGTCCCCACTGCTGGGCAGGTGCTTCTCTGCGTGTTCAGTGGATTTTTGTCTTAGCAGGGTCGACCCTTGCAGAAGGTTTTCAGCAGAACCAAGTCAGAATCCTAACAAAAAGGCTTTGTAGGACTCTTTTCATAGAAAAACTCATATGCAAGTTGTGTCTGCTTTTGGCTGCCCATTCCCTGCCGACTTAGTCCTGCCCCATTTATAAAGCTGCACTTGGTGAAACGATCGATTTAGCATCAGAAACCAAGAACTGACGTGGAGGTTTCCTGGTACGGCGTGACGTAACCAGCATCCCTTCCTCGGGAGAGGACTGTGTTTACCTCATCTCCTGATTTTGTTTCGTACCAACCGAGTGCTCTATCACTGGGAATCTCTCAGCAGACCTCCCCACACCGTGTCCCTACAAGAGGCCGCTGATGCGGGCGGGTGTCCCTGCAGGGCGAGGCCAGGGGGGTGACGCTCGGCAGGACACCGGGAGCTAAAAGCCCCGCAAGCGGAGGCACAGGCTGAATTTCCAATGCTCCTTGGAAACTCAGGGAAAAAAAAAAATAACCCCAAACAACCTCGCTGACGTTGCTGCCACAGCCGCCCTGGCGCCGACGAACAAGATTTTAACGCTGATAACCATCAGGCTCCCCGGGCTTTCCGACTCGGCGCAACAACGCGCCTGCATCTCCCTGCCCGCCAGGTGGGTAGGGAAGAAGCTTCGCTTTTTTCTCTATCCATTATGGGGCTAACCAGCCTCCCAAGAGCCGGGGAGCCGGACGAACCCGCCTGCCCACCCCACCATCCCGCAG